ATTTTATCTAGTGCTAAATATTCTGTTTTTATTTGTATATTAAAAAGATTAATATATTTTTTACATAAAATGACTATGTTTTAATATCCCAGCATTTTCGATGCAAAAACAGCAACAGGCCTAAACTGTCAGAGGAACACGGAGACACACACGTAAATCTTGCTATCTTTGTGAGGACTTCACACACACAGCGCTCACAGCATCTCTGCCTCAGTCTGCGCCCGTTTTTAACACCAGGCAAAAAATGTATTTAAAACAGCTGATGTTAACTTTATAGCACAGTTTGAAATGTACACCGAAGAAAACCCGCATCACGACTTTTATACTGCAGTCAACAAAAGTGATATTTATTTGAGATTTAAGTTTTTTTTTTTATTTCAAAGGTCCTCATGGCTCAGCAACAGAAGCATTAATATTACTGTTCAGAAAGCTGATGATAAAGTTGAATAAAAATCTAAGTTTGATTATGAAGTGAAATTAAATATCTGACAGTGATCATTACACAGTGTGGCTCTAATTCCTCACTTCACCATCTGTGTCGCAGTTTCACGTCTCCAAAATGAGAAAAATGGGTCAGAGCTGGCGTGAGGCACCGCACATTTTCACGTCAAGTTTGGATTTTCGAAATTACAACCTTGGTGTGAAAAGTGGCGTCCGCAAGTTTCTGGGCTCAAATTGTGCGTACGCAAGTTTTATAAATCCGACCCCTGAACCTTTGTGTGAAATGTGGCGTACGCAAGTTTCTTTTATAAATGGCCACCCCTGAAACGTAATTATTATTGGTGATTGAGGACCCAGGAGTGCAGGCATGTTTGAATCCAAAGCATTTAATGTGAGAAAATACAAAAACATAAATAACAAATTCTGGGCTTGACCAGCCTAAAATGAAGGGACAACAAACTGAAAGGATCTAACATAAAATCACTGAAACAGAGAGCTCAAATTAACTAGGAGGCTTCATTTGCAAGTGAAAGCAGGTGAATTGATTGCAAACTGCTGACATGAGAAGGACGTGAGCAGGAAAGAAAACCTAAAACTGTCTGAGTAGCAAAAACTACTGATGGATAATAACTGAAAAAATATATTCCGTATATATATATACTGAAACCCTCCACATACAAAAACATAAATAATACAAAACCCACAAACATTTGATCGGTTAAAAATAAGCAGAAAATCTAAAATAAGATTGTTTTTCATCCAACAGCAGTTAGTCTGATTATATCCGACAACACGTTTTGAGCTTAAGTTTCCTGGGTAATTTTTTTTTTTTGCTATTAAATATAAAACCCCTCAGCCTGGTTAAAACCAGACCCTTGTACTTCACTTTGCTTCGTACGAGGGTTTGGACCCTCAGCTATAGAGAAGTAATTCTTGCTGGAGGCGTGACCTCTGTTGAAGTTTAAAATGATTGGATCGGTTGGCCGCGACGTAAGTCGCTTCGACGGAGGCTAATCTAAGAAGCTAACCGGAAATCGCGTGTGCTGTGAACAACCCTACTGAGAGGAGAAAAGCACCGAGCTGAACAAGACGACTGTAAATGAGAGCTGCTGCTTTGTCAGACAAATTTAATTTAATTTGGAAGTCTTATCAACACGGACTGGCTTCATTCACTTCGCCGTATGCTAAAATAAATAGCAGACACCGCGCAGAAAATCAACGTCATTCAAAACCCCGCCTTCTGCTTGTTGATTGGCCCAGGTAAAATAAACTACAAGCAGACACTCAATGTAGTCAAGTTCAGATACACTCACCGGCCACTTTATTAGGTACACCTGTCCAACTGCTCGTTAACACTTAATTTCTAATCAGCCAATCACATGGCGGCAACTCAGTGCAACAGAGCTGCTTCATGGCAGAACCTCAGCTTAGCCTGTTAGCTTTAGCGTTAGCCCCGACGCTATCACCGTATATATATT